TTAGCTTCTCGACAAGACAGAACTGGGCAGGGGTGGGGGAGGGGGGCTTGCAAAAAGGGGGCCGAGGCTCAAGCACCTATAGGAACCTTCCGCGGGGGCCGATTCCTGCCCCACCCCCCGCCCCACTATCCCCGGGCGGGGAGCGCACCGGAGCGGAGAGGAGGCGGGGACACAGACGCAAGCCTGACTCGGAAGGATGTTTCTGGCCCGCTGTGGCTTTAAGGGTGACGCCGGGCGTGCGGGCCCTTTAAGGAGGGGTCGGGGGCGTGTCAGGAAATGAGTCCTGGGCCCGCCTCGCGGGGGAGAACGGCCTCGGCTGTCCGGAGGCACCGGGGCTGAACGGCAGCCTATGCGCCGAAGGGCTACGCGCCGCGGGCTTGGGCAGGCCCGGCCTCCTCCCGCGCCCTTTGGGCCCCCGCCGCGAGCACCTCTGAGCTTCCCTGCACCCCTCTTTCCAAACCCCTCGCACGCCTTCCCTCCGTTCATCTTACTGCACGCCTCCCCTTTCCCCCTGCAAACCCTTTTCGCCCATGCCTCCCTCTCCCGGCGTCTCTTCCCCGCGCTGTCCTCCGCCCTTCAGCACCTTCGCCCTGCCTTCCTCCCCCTCCCCCTCTCCTTCCTTTCCTCTCCCCTCCCTTCTTCCTGAGACCCATCCCTACAAGGCCTCTTCTGTCCAACCTTAGCCTGTCCCTCACCGCTTCCCTGTGTCTCGTCTCATGAGCCACCTCAGAGTGGGGGCAGATTGTGAGGCTCCCCCCACAGCAGAACCTCTCCGTGGAGAGGCCTCTAGGCCATCCCCCATGTGACAGTTGAGGGCTGCGGCTTGCAGAAAGCAGACAGGGGCTGATTGCCCTGTACTCCAGTTCTGGCTGTAGAGTGACCCAGTTCCTCTGCTACCATGAACAGGGCCCCTTTGAAGCGGTCCAGGATCCTGCACATGGCACTGATGGGGGCTTCCGACCCCTCCGGAGAGGCAGAGGCCAGCAAGGAGAAGCCCTTTCTGCTGCGGGCGTTGCAGATCACGCTGGTCGTGTCTCTCTACTGGGTCACCTCCATCTCCATGGTGTTCCTGAACAAGTACCTGCTGGACAGCCCCTCCCTACAGCTGGACACCCCCATCTTCGTCACCTTCTACCAGTGCCTGGTGACCACGCTGCTGTGCAAGAGCCTCAGCATACTGGCGGCCTGCTGCCCCGGTGCCATGGACTTTCCCACCCTGCGTCTGGACCTCAGGGTGACCCGCAGCGTCCTGCCCCTGTCCGTCGTCTTCATCGGCATGATCACCTTCAATAACCTCTGCCTCAAGTACGTCGGCGTGGCCTTCTACAACGTGGGCCGCTCACTCACCACTGTCTTCAATGTGCTGCTGTCCTACTTGCTGCTCAAGCAAACCACCTCCTTCTATGCCTTGCTCACCTGCGGCATCATCATCGGTGAGTGGCCAGCCAGGGCCACGGGGGGTGGAGGGTGGGGGGTGGGGCGCAGGGACCCAAACCCCAAAGATCAACCCTGCCAGGCGTCGTTGGATTTTATCTGTCCCAGCTCCCTTGGGGAAGAGCCTGGGGCCCAGAGACAGTAAGCTCCCCGAGGTCACCCAGCAAGTCAGGGGCCCACCCAGGGCCCCTCAAAACAAGATCGGATTAGATCTACCTTTCACAGAGGGGAAAAAACCAAGGTACAGAGAAGCTAAATAATTTGTTGAAAATCACACAGCTAATAAGTGGCAGAGCTGGGATCTGATCTCAAGCAGTCTGGCTCCCCATGCTTGACCACTGTATTGCTTCTCAAGAGCTCAAGTGTCCTGACTCTCCATCCAGTGCTATTTCCAGAGAATGCATCTTGTAATAAATATACCATCACCCTCTGACCTTGTAGGCTCGTAGTGATGGCTAAGACAGTGGCAAGAAATAAGCTTTGAGAGGTCTTAGCTGTCTTCCCACGCTTGACCCTTAGAAAATAAGAATTATTGATGGGGACCTGGTGCGAAGCATTCACATTTAGCATCTCCTTTGTTCCCCAGAGGTCCCCTGGGAGGTAGCATCACCTTGATCAGCTCCATACAAACCAGGAAACTGAAGCTCAGAGAGGTTAAGCGACTTGCCCCGGGCCACACAGCTAGGAAGTCGCCAAGCTGGGTCACAAACCCAGATTGGCCAGACTCTCGGGTCTATGCTTTTAACCCCCCTGCTCTCCTCTTGTCGCCTAGAGATTATAGCTGCACTGTCCAACACAGTAGCCACCAACCACGTGTCTATTTCCATTTCCATTCATTCAGATTCAATGACATTTTAAAAATTCAGTTCCTCAGTTGCAGGTGTTAACAACCCGATTCTGTAGCCACATGTCAGGTGCTCAGTAGCCACATGTGACCAGTGGCTACTATATTGGACAGCGCAGATGATAGAACATTTCCATCATCACAGAAGGGGTGTTTGCGACACTCTGGGTAAGAGTGCACCCACTTCCCTCAGAATCCTCGCAGGGCTCTGTCATCCAGGAATGTGGTCTTTCTTTGAACCTGTTCAGGTTTTTCCTGGGGCTGTAAAGTTCGTGTTGGTTGACCTACATATTCTTCGCTGGTGTCTCCGAGTCCCAGGCCCAGTCTCACTGGTTGCAGGGGAGGGGCCCATCCCATGCCGCCTGTCCTAGAAAATGTTACTCTCATTGAGCAACTGCTGGATATAGGGCTGCTCAGTCCAGGCCCAAGATGGGAGACGGGAGAAGGCCAAGGTTAGAGGAGAAGGAGCTGCTGAGACCCCTGGTGGATTTTCAGCTGCCCCCTCGCCCCACCCCACCTCACCGCTGCCCAGAGCTGATGCAGAGTCCCAGGCCTCACTTAGCCAAACGCCTCAGGGGTCTCCACTTCAGCCTCACTGGACCCTATGAAGGGGGGAGGGGGAGCAGGGAGAGGGGAGCCTCCTGATGCGAGAATTTGCACGAAGAAAGGTGAAGTCGCTAGGGAAACTGGGCCCAAGTCCTAAAAGTAATCAAAGTGTCTGATAGTGTGATAGCGTCAGAGAAAGTGCCTTCACTGGCCACACTGATGGGGCAGGGGCCCAGGCCCCCTCTCTGCTTCGCTTCCCCTTAAGATGGGTCTCAGGTGACTATTACGGGGCCCTTCCTCCTTTCCCAGTATTGGGTGTGAGTTCCCTCTAGGGTGTGGAGCCTTGGGGTGGGGGTCCCTTCTGGACTTGGGAGGTCACGAGCCGGATGACTGGGGGCGCTCTGGCTAACCCTCCACACCCCCAGAGCAGGTCTACAGATACCTGTTTGCAAAGGCCCTGCCAAGACCCAGAATGTGCCTGCAACATAGGAGGGGCCTTATCTCCTTCAACCCTCAAAGCCACCTCCAGAACAACCTGCGTTCATGCATTCTTTCAGGCAGCCAACACATAAGAACGGATGGCCAGGCACGTGCCAGAGACTGGGCCAAACTTTGGGGATACAAATTCGGCCAAAGGGGACGGGGCTCCTGGGCTCCCGGAGGGCATGGTGATGATGCAGGGCAGTAAGTGAGTTATGTCGCAGGAGTGAAGCTACTATTGGGGTAATAGAAGGTGCTACAGGAAGCCTGGTGGGGGTGGGGAGGGAAGCAAAGTTGGAAATGGGGTAATCTAAGCAGGTGTGCCGGAGGAAGTGCTAGATGGGTATAAGGGAGGGGTGAGGAGACAGTGTTCTAGGCAGAGGAAAGTACCTGTGTGTTTCTTCATGCTCGGGCCATCGGGGGCCTTGCCCAAGTTAAGTGAGTCTGGAATGTTTCCCGAAGGTAGTAGGTGAGGAGGGGCTTTCAGCCAGGACAGGACCTGAGCAGATCTATCCGTACTTTAGGAAGATCATTCTAGTTGCAAGGTGGAGGGTAGTGTGGTTGGAGTTAGGGGGTCGAGAAAGTGACCCAGGTCTCTATAGATGAAGGAAATGGGAGCTCAGAAAAGTCAAGTCACCTTTCCTCAGGCCATGCAGCCTCTAAATGGCAGAACCCTGGGGCGCCTGGGTGGCGCAGTCGGTTAAGCGTCCAACTTCAGCCAGGTCACGATCTCGCGGTCCGTGAGTTTGAGCCCCGCGTCGGGCTCTGGGCTGACGGCTCAGAGCCTGGAGCCTGTTTCCGATTCTGTGTCTCCCTCTCTCTCTGCCCCTCCCCCGTTCATGCTCTATCTCTCTCTGTCCCAAAAATAAAATAAACGTTGAAAAAAAAAATTAAAAAAAAAAAAAATAAATAAAAATAAATGGCAGAACCCAATTGGAGCCCAAATCTCTCTGACACCAAAACTTCTCCTACTCCCCCATGTTACCAGGTGCTGTCGCACGAGGTACAGCACGTGTAAGATTCAGCCCCTGCCTCCTGGGAAGGTGGGGTGTAGCCAAAGAGATGGGACAGTCCCCATGGGCAGGTGACAGGCAAGGGGTCTTGCAGGGACCATGGAGGCTGTGTGAGCAGGAGGTGACACAAGATGAGGGTGTCAGAAAGAGTGACTGTCCGAAAAGACCTCAGGCCACAAGTGATTCTAACTCATTATAGGCTCCCATTTTACAGACGAGGAAGCCAAGGCTCTGAGACCTTAAATCACTTGCCCAAGGTCACCTTAACCACTAAGCACTCAGCCCTTCGGAGCTCATTTCTACCACTACTTTCCAGATGCCCCAGGCCAACACAGTCGCCCTGGTTATGGGTGCTCACAGCATGCTGCATTGTTTTATGGCCCTCATTACAATTGTAATTAAAGAAATAACTGCGAAATGAATCGTCTTAACGTCGTTCTCCTCTGCTAGAATGTAAGCTCCCGAGAAAGCATTCATGTCCTGGGCCACTTCCCCAGCCTTTGTATGGTGCCTTGCATGTAATAGAGAGTTTGGACATATTTATTGCAGAGGGGGCCGGGAGGACGGGACAGTGAGGGCAGCATTACCGTCTGTGACCTTCGGTGGCAAAACTCTCTGTCCTTCTTCCTCCCCGTCGTCATCCTCTTTGCCCCTCTCCTCTCTCCACCGCAGGTGGCTTCTGGCTTGGCGTGGACCAGGAGGGGGCAGAGGGCACCCTGTCTTGGACAGGCACCCTCTTTGGCGTGCTCGCCAGCCTCTGTGTCTCGCTCAACGCCATCTACACCAAGAAGGTGCTCCCGGCCGTGGATGGCAGCATCTGGCGTCTGACCTTCTACAACAACGTCAATGCCTGCGTCCTCTTCCTGCCCTTGTTCCTGCTGCTCGGGGAGCTTCAGACCCTCCGTGACTTTTCCCAGCTGGGGAGCGCCCACTTCTGGGGCATGATGACCCTGGGCGGCCTGTTCGGCTTTGCCATCGGCTACGTGACGGGACTACAGATCAAGTTCACCAGCCCCCTGACCCATAACGTGTCCGGCACCACCAAAGCCTGTGCCCAGACGGTGCTGGCTGTGCTCTACTACGAGGAGACCAAGAGCTTCCTCTGGTGGACAAGCAACATGATGGTGCTGGGGGGCTCCTCTGCCTACACCTGGGTCAGGGGCTGGGAGATGAAGAAGATTCAGGAGGAACCCAGCCCCAAAGAGGACGAGAAGAGCAGCATGGGGGTGTGAGCTCCTTCAGGGACCCGGGGATGGCCCAGTGGGGGAGAATGCCCAGGGCAGCTCTCTGGACCCTGAGAGGTAGTCTGGAGGGGGTATTGTTTACAAACCTGCTCACAAATCGGGTGGTTGAAATAGAGCCAGTGTTTTCAAGTGATGTCGGAAAGTTGCCAAACCTATCTCGACCGCCTTTCCTGTTTCTGAGTTTTGTCCTCCCCTAGGGAGGCAGGACCCCCTGGGAACAGCCAATGAGTTTCTCTGGAAGAGCACTCGCTTTTGGGGAGTAGGAGAAGGGCAGCACCCCATCCTGTCCCCCTTCCGGGGCCTTCTACCTCCACATGACCTTTGGGGTTGGGGACGGGCCACAACTTTGAGGGACAGTAGTAAGACTTCACTTATACTCAGGGGAGATGGGGGTATGACCCCACCACAGGCCAAATGAAGCGGTTTGGGAAACCTCACGTCTCTGGGTCCCAGGACAGGCAGCGAAGCTTTGACCCCGCAAATCAGCCTCCCTCCGGAGGAAAGTGTGGGCTGGGCTGAGGGGCGACACAGACAAGCGTCCCCTCTTGGTCTTCTGCGCCAAGACCACCAGTCCCCAGGGAAGGGCACGAAAGATCATTTGCACCCAAGCCTGGCTCTGGAATCCCCAAGGACTGCTGGGAATTGGCCCACATCGTGGGAAAGTGCCCTTTCCCACCATCTGCACCCTACGCTCCCAGCTTTTGGACATGGGGGAGCCACACAGCTTTTACAGGTTAAGCAGGGTCATTAACACCCTCCCCCGGTCCCTGACACTCAGAAGCTCATTCCTCCCCTCCTGAGGAGCCGCTAGCCCTCTGGTTTCCCGGCACCTGACTCAGGTAAGACCTCCCAGAGGTGCAGCCAGGCCACCCTCCTAACTCTGGCTTCCCAGAGCGTCATCCCCAAGAGGACTGGTAGAGCCAGGGTCCTGGCTCAGAACCTTCCCCCTCAGCGGTGCTGTGCCTTCCCCTGAGCCAGATCCCTGCCTGGGTGTTGGAACCTGACTCTGATGAAGGTGATAAAGTAACAATTACGTTTCTTCCCTGAGGTTAGGGCTGAAAGAACCTTCTCTTCCCCTTACCAACGCCCTGCCCCCACACCCACCCCCACCCCCGTGGGCTTAGGACGGCCTTCACAAACCCTGTCTCTTCGGCTGTGCATTCTGCCCCACCCATCTCCTTGGGATAATTCCTCCTGTTTTGTCCCCATCAGGAAAGGTTGGGGAGAGTGGGTCTTCTCATCCGCAATGGTTTCTAAGGAAGTTATTCTGGCCTGATGCTCTGAACTGTGTGTGAGTTCATTAAAAATGGAAATAAGACCTTGTAGTGGAAACCCTGACAGTTGGGGTTCTTTTCTTTCTTGCAAGGCTAGTGCCTGACTAAACTTTGATTGCGGAAGCATCCGCTTCAGAGATTGCCGGACACACAACCAGGCTGCCTCCCCATCTGAGACCCCTTCATTTTAAAGAACCTGATTGATTTCAGTAACCGATCACTTGGGCCACTTCTTTTCTTCTCTTCCTACACTTTAAATTTCCACTCCTATGTTTTGAATTCACCAATAAAGAGCGAGCCTGCAAAGCCTTGACCCCAATAAAAGCAGATCCCCAGGCCTGTGTGTGCTCTCATTCTCTCTCTCTCTCCCTCCCTCTCCGGTCTCCCCCCACCACCCCCACATTGCTGTGTGGCCCCAGGTGTGCTGTGTAATTTCCAGATCCTGTAAGTAATAAACCTTTATTTTTTCAAAGTTTCCTGATGGTTATTGCTGAAGGGTGTCTTGCAATTGTTAAGAACCACAAGGACCGTCCGCATTGCTTATCGACAGGCGGGGACCAGCACCAAACAATCAGTGTAGTTGGCAGAACTGCATGATGGCCCTTACAGTTAACCAAGGGGAACGCCCTTATTACCTGCGACTGGCTTACGAACCACCTAAGTCAGGTGGGTGACACCATCTGGAAAAGGAACACAGCTTGCTGGGGGTCTGTCGCACTGCTCTGTGCTTTTGTATATGGCGTCTGTGGTATGTTGCCTGAGGGATCCCACCCAAAAGCTCACAGCTGCTGTGATTATCCAATGATCTCCCCAGAGCAACATGATCAAGACCATATGGTCTAATGAGACAATTAGACCACTAATTACAAAGGCCTTCATTGACTATTCATGTGCATAAGGGTCCTCAAGGCCAAGGAGAGCTAAGGAGGGTAGATTGGGTAGCTAGGCTATTGTCATACCCAAGGAGTGGCTTTGGGCTACACACTAGGAAAACATTCCTGCAGGTGAGGAGGACTGGTGACCACTAAGTCTGTGGGTCATGCGTGGACTGCGAGCTGTAACCCAGAAGAGTGCGATAGCCTTGCAACCAGAAATCAATGGCACCACTGGAGGGAAAATGCAATTGACGCCTATGGTGTCTATGTCACCAGTTCACTCAACTCTGTCACTCTTCATCCCCTGATCTGTTGGGATATTCTGGGTCCAATCCCCGGTGTGATGTTACTAAAAACAATAATGGACCGATAAATGATCTCAACATCTGGTTCCAGTGCCTCCTAAGAGCCCTGAGGAGGTACCCCAGCTCCTTGACAAATGCAGAACTTCATGGATGCTAGATATTCTATTCTCTTCAGTGCCATGTGAGCCAGCAAGCAAGACTGCCATTGGGCTCCTGAGGCCTGAGGGCTTTTCCCAAAGACCTGGTGTATATTGTGCCAGTGGAGGCAGATCTTAATCCTGGAGAGGTCTCTTGGGACACCCTGGAAAGGAAAGTGGCCACCTACAAAAAGGGTTCATTGTGACACCATCCAAAATTTTCCAGCAACGACAAGTAAGGTCAAGGGCATAGGAGAAAAACAAGAAGCAGAAACTGAGATCAAAAGCTATACCTTAACTGAAATTCAAACCTTGATCTTAAAGATTTTATGCAAAAGGAGAGAGGGGAACTGATTGGTTCCTGTGGGTTTTCTGATTTGTTTGCAATAGGCTCCAAACTATGACTCATAGCAGTCAAAATGTGTCAACTGGCTGATATCTCTAAAAACCCAAAAATCCATAGCTTTCTTCAAGAGCCATCTTGGCTGTATGTTTGTTTCTTCTGCGACACCAGAGATCCTGAGCCCCCTCAGCTTTCCCCTGAACTGGGCAGGGCTAAAAGCATGCCTCGCGAGGTGTCGCCACCACCAAGGGGAGAGCTGGCAGGGTTATCGGGGCCCCTAGTGAGGAGGAAGAGAGAATGGGAAGGCAAAGGCCCCAAAAGCTACCATTTTTGGGCCAGGACCCTCTTCTCACTTAGATATTGATGGCCTGGTGTCAGGCTCATCCTTCTATCACACTAATCCCTGTTAAGGCTCCCAATGCGTGGAAAATATTGAGATGATGCCATCTCCTGCCACACAAAACTGGCATGATCCAATGGGTTTATCATTTCCGTGACCGCAATGGCCCAAATGACTCCCTCTTCCATTTCCAACCCTAAAGAGGCCCTATTTGACCTTGAGTCCATAGAGGATTTTAGTTTAATATTTACCCATCCATTTTGAAAGAGAGAGAGAGAGAGAGAGAGAGAGAATCCCAAGCAGACTCAGCACTGTCAGCATAGAGACTGATATGGGGCTCGAACTTATGTGAGAACATGACCTGAGCCAAAATCAAGAGTTGGATGCTCAATCAACTGAGCCACCCAGGTGCCCAAGATGTATTTTTTTTTTTTTAATTTTTATGTATTTACTTTGAGAGAGAAAGAGAGAAAGAGGCAGGAGCAGAGAGAGAGGGAGAGAGAGAATCCCAAGCAGGCTCCATGCTGAGCAGGGCTCAATCCCACCAGCATGAGACCATGACCTGAGCTGAAATCAGGAGTTGGATGCTTAACCTACTGAGCCACCCAGGTGCCCCCAGAGAATGATTTTTACAGGGTGCTCCCCTAATTATAGGGAAGCACTGCTACTTTTTCCTGGGACTGTGGTAACCATCCAAAGGTGCAAAATCTCTTAGAAGAAAACTTACCTTCTCTCTCTGTCCCTTGAAGTAAATCTTACCATGCCTTTGACATGTAAACACAAATCTTAAATATCCTCTCCACAAATATTAGTAAAAAGCTTTAGCCCTCTGAGCAGGTGAACACTTACTCCAACTGCCAAACAAAATTTGGATCCAAGCGGTTCTTTTATAAACTCATGAGTTTTGCTTTATTATACTCACCTCAACGATTAAAAATTTAAAACACGTGCTATAAGGTCTCTGTGTCTATAGATCTATATATGTTGTAAATGTGAGATATATTTCTACCTCTATTGGTATTGCTAAAATTAATTTGTAAAGGGATCTATTCGGTTGGCTAAAAAACAAGTGTTTATATGAATTAGGGATTCTGAAAACTCTCAGAAATATAAGAGAAATTAACCCAAATGTTCTCAACTTCTTGTGATCTAGGATAATATTTGGTAAAGAAAACCTAGTTCAAGTTTTTTTACTTAATTAAAACAGATATGTCTTGAGAGTTATCAGCATTAAATACTATATTTTTATTCTCACTAGGTTTACTAAAGGTCCAATAAGTTCAGGTTATCTCTTGCAAAACTTGCAAGAAAAGTAGCTTGGGATGATGTCTGACTTTGTCTAGTATCTAATGAAGTTTTTTGTGGGTTGTGAAACATAATTGTTGGAAGAAAGATTTTGATATATGTAAGTGGGATACAAGGGTTTAGGTTAACTTTCCAGCAATAATCATGTATTACAGTGTGTTTACTAAAAAATAGTTGCCCAAATCTTTGGTGGCTTTTATCCTTAGAATTTTGCTAAGTTAAATTAAATGATGGGAATTCATTTAAAGTCTAGATCATTTCCAAGCAAGATAAAATACTGAAACATTAATCATTAATTCCTAACCAACCCTAAGTTTACCTACTTTTGGCTTGTTATTCCAGAGGCACTGAAGATATTTGAGTCTGTTGGTAAACCTGTCTTGTGCCACATTGAAAAACTGTTGTGAGG